AAAAAGCCTCCGGTCTCTCCCAAGACCAGAAAAAGAATTATGAAAAGCAGAGTGATGAGTTGGTTAAGGATTACCAAAACAAATTATTAAAGGCCGAAGAAAAGAAAATCAAAGAATTGAATTCTTAAAAATTCTAGTCAATCTCAAAGTTCAACAAAAAAGATGAGAGTCAGAAAATCTAATTTCAAATATCCCTAAAAAGAATAATTTAATTAAAGAAGTTTTGCGTAACTTGTAAGTATTTTGTATTCATTTATTTTTAACCTATAGAGTAGAAGTCGCTTTTCTTAAAAATGAAAAATATACGTGATATTTCGCCCGATAAGGACAAAAAAGAACCAAAAACTTACTTAATAACTATCGCTTATGACGGCAGCGATTTTGCTGGTTGAGCCACCCAACCGAACAAAATAACCGTCCAGGGTTGTATCGAAACAATTTTAAGTCGGGTTTTTCAAAAAAAGATTAATATTTTAGCCGCCAGTCGCACTGACAAAGGAGTTCATGCTCGCGAGCAAAAATTTACTTTACGGCTTAATTTAGATTTTTCCGCAGAAAAATTATTTAATTTATTACGAAAAACCCTCAGCAAGTATATTTTAATCAAAAGAGTTCAAAAGGTAGACAGTAATTTTCATCCCCTTTGTAATGTTGTCAGTAAAGAATATCGTTATTTTATTAATACTGGCAAGCATAACATTTGACAAAAAAAATATCGCTGGGAGTATAATTTACCAATTGATATCAAAAAGTTAAATAACATTCTCCAAATTTTCCAAGGCCGACACAATTTTTTTAATTATTCCTATTGCCGTTGACCGGAACGAAATCAAGTAAAAAATGAGCGAACAATTACCGCCCTAAAATGTTGAAAAAAACAGAATATTATTGTTATCAGTATTAAGGCAAAAAATTTTCTCCGCTATCAGATTAGAGCGATAATTGGTGAGGTTATTAATTGTTATGAGGGAAAACAAAATATCACTGATTTACAAGAAAAATTAATTAATTTTGATAAAAAAGGTTATAAGTACAAAAATCTCGCTCCTGCTGGGGGTTTATATTTATGAAAAATTGATTATGAGAAATAATTTACTAATAATTTTCTTACTTCCTTAATTTACTTTATTTTAATCTTTTTATTTCTTATTTTCCTAAACACTGCCACACTAATCATTAATATTGCCCCAATTACCCCTACAATAGCAAAGATTTTGATAGGACTAATGTCAGATTCATTATTATTTACTACTGACTCATTATTATTATTTTGTTGTTCCAAACTAGACAATTCATTAATAGCCTGTTCTATTCTCTCTTTTAAGAGTTGATAACTCTCTGTGTTTTGTTCTTTTTCTTGGATTAGTTTAGATAAAGTTTCAGAGTTAAATTGTTTATCCTTAATTAAGAATTCAGCCTCAATGATTAATTTTAATAATGTTTCAGATTGTTCTTTTTGTTCTGGAGTGGTTGAATTAGAATTGTTTTCAATGGTGGATTTGTCTTTATCGTTATTGTAGTTTTCTTGAATAGTTTCGGGGGAAGGGAGAGGATTATTAGTGGGTTGTTCTTGGGGTTCTTGATTGGGAGTGGGATTGGATTGGTCTGGAGTGTTGTTGTTTTGGTTAGTTGGTTTAGGGGGTTGATTTTGCTCTTTTTGTTCGGCTTCTTTTTTAGCCTTTTTGTATTCTTGGTTTGCTTGTTTGTTTTCTGTTTGAGGGTTGGTTGGGAGAGGAGTGGTTTTTTGGTTAGACGACGAGGCAGAAGTATTTTTTTGCCTTTCCTCCTTTCATTTTTCGTATTCTTTTCATTTTCCTCTTCGGTAACCAAACTCACCCACTATGTAATATTCGTTCCAATATCCAAGCCGCCCTTTCTCTATTATCAGACCAGTTTCTTTGTTTTTAAAAAAGTTTGGATAAGCATTTTCGGTGTCAAAAAGAATCAACTCTCAATTTTTAATATTTTTGATAATCATTTCAGTCATCTTTTTTTTAATTTCCTCAACTGCTTTTCAGGTTAAAGTATTCCTATTAATATAATCGTATTCTTCTCCCAACAATTCTGGGTCAAAGTTAAAAAAATCTCCATTAGCGTCAATAGTATATTTATCTAAATTGTTTAGAATATATTGTCGGTTTTTCTCCTTTTGTTCCAGAGTTATATTTTCTGTCATGGTTACCATTCTTTACTTTAACTTTTATATTTCCTAAGCAGCCATGCTACCAATACTAGGACTGGCTTTTATAGTATTCGTAAATAGCCATTTTGAAGGCTTTTTTTCGTAAAAAGTGTTCAGGTGAATAATTAAACCTGTCCTTGACTTTAACACGAAAATGGTCTCCTATAAAATCAACAATTTCAAAATTGAAAGAAAGATCACGATATGAGTCAATTTTAACTCATTCCCCATACAAATTTCCATCTATCGGTTTGGTTTTTAAATATCCACGAACATTAAAATTTGTATTATCATTTATCCACTTATCCCACCAACCTTTTTCTATTTCTAACTCATCTTTTAACTTTTTCTTTTCATCCTCTAACTTTTCTACTTGTCTTTTAAGTTCAGTTATTTCATTATCTTTTTGAGTAGTCAACTGTTCTTTTTCTCTTTCTAATTTGTCTTTTTCCTGTGATAAATTATCTCGCTCGTTAGTTAAACTATTGATTTTTTGCTTGGCTTTTCTATTTTCTGCTAATCATTCGTTTTCTCAAAACTTTTTTAGTCCTTCAATTTCAG